CCAATATTTCTTCTAAAGTCAGTGAGTATATTGTAAAATTAAAATGTTAATGCTGAAAAATTTGGATTGAACTGGAATTGGAATTGACTTGTCCACAGCCATGTCATGTGTTTGTTAACCCTTGGTTATGACCCACTCAAAAATGACATGTTTTTGTTTCAACGTTAGGACATGAAAGGGTTAAATTATTTTAAAAACACCTTGGTGAAGGAAATTTTGTAACTGATTAATTGAATGTTAGATGAAGTATTGTATTTTATACTTTCTGATCATTGCAGCTTTAAGGCCATAACAGAATAAGAGTTGGTGTGTGTCTTATCAAGTGTTCTTTCTTTAGTCTAAACCAGTGGTTCTTAAACTTTGTTGAGGTTCCGAACCCACCAGTTTCGTATGCGCACTCACTGAACCCTTTTTAGTGATAAATAAAATATGCTTTTTCCCCCAAATTCAAGACATAGATATATGTTTTTTTTTTTACTGGTGTATAAAATGAGCCGTGCATGAACATCACCTTGCTCATATAACTCATTTAGTTTAGACTCTAAACTAAATGAGTGACGTTCTGACATCTGACGTAAAAGGTAACACCTCCAGGGCTGTAACCAGGAAGAGATGAACATTATAAAGTCAATTCATTATTAGAGAAGGAGGTGTCAGTGTGTTGCAGAGTCTGCTCAGAGCAGAGCTCCTGTGTTTGTTTTGATGCAGCCCAAGGTCTTGAGGCCTGTGTGCTGTACTGTGAACCTGATTGGAGTCAGAAGATTGAAAATAAAGTTTTAAGAAGAAATCCAGCTGATTCCTTTTTATTCAGAAATACCATTTTGAACAATGCATTATTTTCCTATATTGACATGCTTGTAAAACACCATCTAAACATTTAAATTTATGTGACGATCATATTTTAACCCTCACATTTCCTTACGCAAAGGACATGAATTTTGTGAATTTCCAACTGTCCCTGCTCACTGGAGCGTGAAGCGTTAACTAAGATTTTGATGTTATTCAAAGCAGAATGATCCCCTCTACCAAATGTCACGCCCACATTTTCAAAATTTTTATCTTTGTTAATTTTATGACGATTTTTCTGAGAGTATCGTTTTTTCTGATACACCTTGTAGGCTGCATGCATCTGCTATAGGGCTGTGTATTGGCAAGAATTTGGCGATACGATACATATCATGACAGAGGGGTCAC